GGCGGGGTTGAATCGAACTTGGAGGAGGACGACAGAGACCGGAGTCAAGGAGAGAGAGAGAGAGAGAGAGGGAAGTAGTTGCAGCAGTCACCTTGTTTGGAGCGCCGCCGGCCGCCGGGAGACGCCGCCTCTGTCCGCCGCTGCCGCACGCGAGAGAGAGCACCCTTTTTTGAGAGAGAGAGAGAGAACTGAGAGCAGCTACTTTCTGTGTAGGCGGTCCGATCCGGGTCGAATTACCAGACACGGTGCTGGGCCTTTTTCTATCTCCAAATGGGCCATCGAGTGGGCCCGGGCCATGACCCATAAAAGCCCAGAAAAGGATGAAAAGAGACCTCCATCCAGAGCACCCACTTCCATAATGTGCCACCCCCGGTTTCAAGGTTACCTATTTCTCCCCTTTTTTTTTACCAAGATTCATTTTTCAAGGTTAAAAAGATTACGAAGGTAGGGCGAACAAGAAGACCAAGACGAAGACAACGACCAAGACCCGAATAAATTGACAAACACTAAGAGGAATTAGGGACATCTTCGACCGTAGCCAGATGTGATCGAAGCCCCAAAATCTGCGAGATTAACCTAGCTGATTAGATAAGATCTAGATGGACATTTTTAGAAATTAATGAACATTTTTTAGAATTCATGTTTCATTTTCATAATCATGAAGTATTATTGAATTTTCAAACATTTTTAAAAATTTGTGAATGATTTTTATGGATTTGTGAACTTTTTTAAAATTCACCGAAAATCTGATTTTTTTTCAAAGGTGGTTTAATAGAAAACAGCCGAAATCCCCCGCCCCCAACAGCAACGTGTCGAGCTCCGCCAGTAGCAGTAGCAGGCTGAGGTGTGCCCCGCTGAGCCGAGGTTGAACAGCAAACCCCGCTAGCCTCATATCCTCTTGTTGATCAGGTCCACTCCTTCACGTCCACCCGCCTCATGCTCCCTTTTCCCCATCCACAGCGTCGACGCTCCATCCTCCATACAATGTGCTGAAAACTTGAAGATTTTTAGGGGCAAAAGAGTTCATTTGCAATTGTGCCGCCATATACGGATCAAAAGCAAGCGATACCTCAAACACATCGACAGTCGAAGACTCCTTGCCTACACAACCAAATAGCGGCGAGACAAGACACATCGGACTATTCTTTTTTACTAAAGCGAGAATGTTGATTCCAATACTGTCATGTCGAATCCATGACCCAAACAGATTTTACAAGCGGGTTCCATTTTGGGGCACTATATATGGCATTTCAGGGTATATTCATCATTCTTCTTTTATTCTTTTCTAAAAGAAGGGAAATTCTATTCGCATATTGACTCGGAGTCTTGGACAGTCATCAAAGTCTAATTTAGACCCAGTAGAAGAACGGAAATAATAACCTCAGAATTGGCACCTAGGTTACATTCTGCTAGACCTGGATAATTTAACTGGCCACTCTTTTTGTTACGACAGAATTGGCTATGCTTTCAGAATGTCCCCAAAGAAAAAACCATCACATTGATCAGCAATACCACAGATGTTGGTCTCACACTCTTACTGATGAGAAGGCTAACTAAGGACGCGCTTGCTATTCTAGGCTTACAATATTTTACAGCATGAACTGCAAGCCGAAGTAAGTTTTCCTTTTCCTTGCCACTGCAGAAAGGGAAGAGATGGAGGATGTCCGTGTCCAAGCTACCGAAGGTAGTTCTGAAGAGGAGATTGCTTTCTGTGTTGTGGAGCAGCTTAACGCTATAAG